TAACCTCCTTCTCAATGCAGGGAGTTGGCATTTCTTGTATAGCTTTAACCTCTTCAGGGTCTACTTCAATACCTTTTCCACTGACAATGAAACCTAAGAGCTTACCAGATCTTACCCCAAAGGTGCACTTGTTCAGGTTCAATCTTAACTTATACTTCTTCAGTCTTTCAAATTGTGTGACGAAAGTTGTTTTCTTCATGTATTTAGGTGCCATTTTGATCTGATTATAACCAGAAAAACCGTCCATGAAGGAGAACATCTTGTGCTATGTGGTGTTGTCAATCAGAACATCAATATGAGGAAGCGGAAAGTCATCCTTGGGGATTTCCCTATTCAAATCTCTGTAATTCACACACATACGCACCTTACCGTCCTTTTTAGGTACCGGTACCACGTTCGTAACCCATTGTGGATAAGAAGTAACAGCTAAGAATCCAACATTAAATTGTTTCATGACTTCAGCCTTGATCTTTTCTGAAATCTCAGGATGCACACGACGAACCTTTTACTTCATTGGAGGGCAGTCTTCTTTAGTTGGTAGACGTGAACCACAATATGAGTGTCCAGTCCTGGCATGTCTTTGTATGACCAGACAATGATCTCAACATAGTCATGCAACATCTGAACTGACCGTTCTTTAACACCATTTTCCAAGTTGGTACCTATCTTGACTTCCTTTTTACTTTCCCCAGTACCCAAGTTTACTGTCTCGACCGACTCTTCATGAGGTTGTATTGAGCTTTCCTCTTGTTGTAATAGTCTAGCAAGTTCTCCTAGTACTTCACAATCTTCCTCACCCTCGTCCTAGGCTTGGTAGATCAGATTTTCAAAGTCATAACTGGCAATAGAAGAACTATTATCAATGAGATCCAGGGTGGATGTGGATCTGCAATTCGATATGTGGGTGTGTGTAAGAGAGCATAGCTATTTTGACAAAGTAGAGTAAAAAGAAAAACATAGAGCATAAAATTTGTATGCAAAACGTCCAACAATTTATTAACGACATATGAAAATGAAGTGTGATAACCCTCACAAATAGACCGTTGTGTCTCGGGTAAGACACAAGGCTTTTAGAGTTTAAATTGTAAAAAAATTACATATCCTTAAAAACAGAAAAACAATTACTCTTGGATAAAAGAACTAGGCACAAAGTCTCTAGCCGTCCAATTATTGAGTCCACCGCTGGTAGTAGGGAAGATATAATTATCCAGGTCACAGTCACTGTTAGCGTCTTCTACAACATTGACTCCATGTTTGTTGATGCGTAGTGGTGGTCCTCCGGCGCGAGCACGACAAAAAGCTTTTTGAGCTCCTGAAGGGAAATCCAAACAAAATTTGAAAGACTTATAGGGGATGTCAGGTAGTTGGACCCAAATATTAAACCTACCTTCTTGAACTACAACCTTAGAATCTTTTAGAGAATCCATCTTCAGTGGAGGTCTGGTAACCTTTGAAACAGCGGCAGAAACCTTAGTAACAACGATCGTCTGAGGAACCTCTTCAAAATTTTGACAGGGGGTCTTAATGAACTCTCCGTCCATCTCGACATATCTAAAAGATTTCAAATGGCTCACCATATACTCTTCTTTGTCACATACTATAACAATCTTTCCATTAACCGAATACTTTAACATCTGATGCAAGGTGGAAGTGATAGCGTCAGCCCCATGAATCCAAGGGTGTCCTAATAAACAGGAGTAAGATGGGAGAATGTCCATCACGTAAAAAGTGGAGTCAAAAGTCTGGGAACCAACTTTGATAGGAATTTTCACCTCCCCATGTACCATTATTTTGGAACCATCAAAATCCCTCACCACAATATTACTGGGCTTCAATGTAAGTCCTGCAAAATCCAATATGTCCAAAGCACACTTGGATAGAACATTTAGTGACAAACCTGTATCAACTAGAACATGAGCCATGGTAGTGCCCCTGCATTCAATAGATACATGCAGGGCATCATTATGCTTTCTTCCTTTGGACGTTAAATCAGCATCAGAGAAACTGAGTCCATTGTCTGCAGTCAGATTACCAACATAATTCTCAAATTGGTCGGTAGAAATATCTTGCGGCACTTGAGCAGATTTCAGGAACTTCACCAAAGCCTTAGAATGGACTTTGGAGCATAACAACAAAGCCAACATTGAAATTTTAGAGGGGGTCTGTTCCAATTGTTCCACAACATCGTAGTCACTTTTTCGTATAATCTTCAATATTTCCTCCATTTCTTGCTTGGAGGCCTCGGGAATGGATTCTTTAGGTGCCTCCGTCCGAGAAGGCTCAACTGATACTTCTTTTCCCCGAGTCTCAACTGAATTAGTAGCAGGAATAACAACATGAGTAACAATAGGAGTAGCAATAGGAGTATTAACAGGAATGACAAAAGGAGTGGCAACAGTCTTTGGAGAGATTTTAGGAGAGAAAATTCTTCCACTTTTGGTAATCTTACTGGTCCCATCAATGTTGTTGATGATAGGATCAGTATCTTCAGTAAATTCATTTTTGATAACCAAAGGTCTTATTTGACGCCATGGTAGTAGATGTCATCACCATAGTTCCAAGGAACAACCTTGCTGGAGGAATATGGTATTGGCCCGGGATAGGTAATAATCAAAGGAGCAACCTTAGAAGTGGATGTAATCCTGATAGGACCTTTAGAGGAGACTCTGGGAGGATTGTTGGAAATGGTAATAATTGATACATCTTTACATAAACTTCTTGTAGAGAGAATCTTCTCAAAGAGGATCTCCCGGTCATTAATCAGGCGTTGAACGCCTATTTTCAGTAATAAACAACCATTAGGCAGAGACGCACAATGGTAGAAATCTTCACCACAACTTGGAAATAGACCGGCTTGTAAGAGATTCTCCTTAATCACTGGAAGAGGAGTAGCTAGTTCATCAACAGAAGAAACAAACATGTCACCATCAACAACATTGATACCTTGGTCGTGCTTGGGCATGGGTACAGTTATCACATTGGGAGTCTCAGGAGGGTCAAATTCAATCTCCTTTGCATCAACAGGATCCTGAACTTTATTCTTCAGAGCCCAACAATCATTTGTATCATGCCCTGGACTGTTGGAGTGGTAGGAACACCAAACATTTGGATTATAACAGGGAGATGTAATGTTTGGATTTTAAGAAGGCTCCCTCAGAGTGACCAAGCTAGCCTTCATTAGATGTTGCAATATATGAGATAAGGGCATGGTGAGTCTGGTGAATCGTCTTCTAGGCGCATCCTGCCCGCGCTGATTATTTTGTTATTGAGTTGATACAAGGTTAGAGATCATTATAGCTCCTATCGTTGGATGGTGTTCAGTTTTACCCTGATTTCTCTAACCATAGACAACACTAACTTCCTTCGTCCCACTGGAAAGCTTCTTCACATCACTTGAAGATGCAACCCCTTGAATTTTGCCACTCTTGATGCCAGCTTCTACTTGTTCTCCCGTCAATATCAGCTCGGTGAATCCAGCTGAAGAGCTTCCGATCACATGGTTGAAAAATGGGCCTGACAAAGTACCCAAGAACATATCCACCAGCTCTATATCAGACAAAGGAGGCTGGAAACTTCCTGCAAGATCTCTCCACTTTTGGGCATAATCTTTGAAACCCTCACTAGAACCCATAAACATGCTTTGAAGTTGCGTACGAGTTGGAGCGAGGTCAACATTGTATTGGTACTGCTTGTAAAAAGCAGCAGCCAGATCTTCCCAATTACGAATGTTGGTTCCTTCAAGTTTATAGAACCATCCCAACCGTGTCCATGACAAACTCTCTTGGAAGAAATGAATCCATAAATTCTTGTCAGCTGTGTGGGGTTGGATCTTGTTGCACCCCAAAATTTTCCCTCCTAATTTCTTCTATCTGGCTTAGGCCCTTGCATTCATATATATATATATATATATATATATATATATATATATATATATATATATATATATATATATATATATATATATATATATATATATATATATATATATATATATATATATATATATATATATATATATATATATATATATATATATATATCCCATTAGGTCATTAACATACATTTACATTCGATAAAGCGCTTGAGGTTCAAAGTTCAGTGGCTGTGCGATATCAGGGTTTCGCAACGGTTAAGGTGTTCATATCCAATAAAGGCTGATTTCTTATTCAGGCAGTGAGCAGTGGAATTAGGATTGTGAGTCGTGGTCATGAGAATTTCTTTCTTCACTAAACTTCAAGGGCTATTATCCCTTCAATTTTATCAATGTCAGATATTAGGATTTACTTCCCTATACCAGGTCAAGAGAATCGGGGTTTCTCTTCATTTTGTTCAAGCTTGGTAGTGGTTCTTCAATGGAGGTTTATCGGACTAAAGTCTCACTTCAAGGCTACATGGAGCACTACCCTTCCCTTATTGGAGGTTTGTCATCATCTAAGGACTACTTGCTTTATAAGTCGACTTTTTTCCAAGATGCCTAAGGGATTGAATAAAAAATTTTCTCCTTTGACGAGCGATTAAGGATTGATTTGGGTTTTATCAAGTCCAGATATGTCTTGTTAGTTAAGTTATGGGTCAGGAGCTCATTTAGCTCATTTTATCAAATGAAAGGTGGTTGTTTCAAATTCAAGATGACTAGAATTTATGGATTCAATTGAGATTAAGGTTCATTGATTAAACATGCCATGGAAGTATACCGATTTCATTTTCTTACCGAGCGTTGACCGACTCAAGGGCTCATATGTGTTATGAATTCCATTGGAAAATAATCAAAAAGCATAATTCAAAGTATTGGTTTATGAATCCCTTATGGCCGATTCAAGCATGTAGATTGGAAAGCCCATTTACATGGATATGTTCTACTAGCGAGACATTCAAGTGGATAAATATTTTAAGATTGCAAGATTCATCCATAATGCAAAATCTCAGTTAAGATTCATTCGAGGTAAACCAAGGAATTTTGAAATGAAAGGCTAAGAAATTTTTGGGTGCATTGATATGGCCATATCGCGCAAATTTTGTATTTGGTGATTGAGTCAAGTCTACATAGCATTATGTTTATCTTTGTTAAAGGGTCGAGTTTCAACTATTCAAAAACCATTACAAAGATTTCAATGGCCATTACAAGTTATGTCCAAATATCCATTCAAGCTTCAAAGTTCACATTTAAAGCTCATAAGGATGGCATACAAAGTACAATTACATCATTACAAGAAATTACACATAACATTTTCATTCAAAAGTTACTTCATGCGAAACTCCAAATTCTAGCAAAAGGATTCGAGCACGTCATGTATAAGGCTATAAACTTGTTGCTTCTATGTTGAGCTATCAAACCAATACGTCCAACTCATTGGCATATGCGGTATACAAGCTACTGTAGGATACGTCCATCAAGATCTTGCATTGTGCACTATGATTTCAACCCGAAAGACTACAGGAAATCTGCATAACAGATACGTGCATATACAAATCAACAGGTCTTCAAAAGTTGAAACAATTTCATAATAAGTGCATATTTTTTCAAAATAGATTCAGTGCCTAACATATGGCAGTTATGTTCATAAAGAGTGTTATTCAGTGTACTAATCCAACATGTTCATCCAAAAATTCCCTGCACATATCAGTTAACGCAAACGAATGTGATACGCTACTTATACTTAAACTAGGCTGATTTGCATACCTGTAAACATCAAATTTGTTCATTAAATTTGGATTCCCAAATCTGCATCCAAAAAAATAAATGACCAGTTCAGTATCAATGAAAAATAAGAATAAAATAACTAAATAAAGGAATTGCGTTCGTTCAACTCTGTGTTGAGACCGTTCAACGTATGTTCATGCAATAAAATTCAGAAGAAGGTTTATCAGTTCATAAATCAGAGCAGAAACAAGACATCTCTTTGCAGAAAAAAGCGAAGAATTTATCCATGCCCAAGTAAATGCTCTTCTGTCCTCTCTAGATATTGATAGCAACGTTCGTGGCAGGAGACCTATGCCTAAAAGATTTAGGGAGCTTGATGATTATTGGAACGAGTCTCAAGGCAATGTGATACAAGGTGCTCATGCTTCAGATAGATGGATTTCTAAATTCAGTCAAAATAGGGAAAGATATGATAATCCTGATGCTTGGGCTAACTCATTTGAGCAACAACATGGTGAAAATGGTTGAGTCTCTGAATTTGAACATTCTCAATTGTCATCAGTAGATCAAATGCGAGGTATGAACATGCAAAATATTGCTGCAATGGAGCAGACTCGTATGCTTGCAAACACACTGGCCCATAATGCTGACCCTAAATTTCGGAAATCAAAGTTCTTTCAATTTGTATCAAAGATGAGCCGCGGTGAATTAATTATCGATGAAAATCAAGTTAAAGAGACTGCATTACCTGCACCTGGAGACGTGGCATCAGAATATCAGCAACAGTATAATCACGGTGATGCATGGGCTGGTGAATTCTTAAATAATAAGGCTTTTTCCGGAGTTCGACCTGAACAATGGGCGAATGAGTTTGCAACTGAAAGACAACAAAATAGAGCAGTTGATGACCAGTGGGTTAATGAATTCTCAAACTTACGTGTTAATAACTGGGCAGAGGAATTTGTGCCAAAATACAGATGAAAACAAATTACCCGTAGTTGTCTGCTTTGAGGAATGCACTCCTACTAGTCAAGGCACTAGAAGTTTCAGCCGAGTAAAGAGAAATATACATTTCACATATGATGAGGAAGCTGGCATCTTCAGCTGAATGTTCCAAAACTACTCCAAAAAAAAATCTTATTGCAGCTGCCCAGGCAAAACAAAAAAAAACTCATTCTCAGGAGGAAGCCCCTAGCCCATCCACAGTTCAACCCTACATAGAAAATGGGAAATATAAAATTAATTAAACAGCTCATCAATCTCCTCCTAGAAACTTTATAACTCCCTAACAAACTCCTAACTAACTCTAACGGTAATAACAGAAAAAACAGTCTCCAACATCTTATTAACAAACTACTAACAAACTACCCATACTAACTAACTCTTAACAGAGTACCTAACCTCCAAACTGTTTTTTTCTAACAGAATTCTAAAGTTCACAAACTCCTAACAAACTCTAATAGTGATAACAGAAATAACTAACTTCTAAACTCCTAACAGAACTTCAGAGTTTATAACTAACCTCAAAGCTGATCCTAATCTCACCATTAATCCATAACCGAAAATCCAGACCCTAAGGAGGATTCATTGGCCCTCTACCTGAATTCAGATTCACAAAAATAGTTCCCTCAAAATTCTGTTTTCATTCTCTAATTGGATATGACTCCCTCAGTTATCTTCACGCCATTTTCTAATCCCACATCATCTTCTTCAATCTTTGGCTCTCTCTGATAACTTCACCCTCACTATTCTTCTCCTCTCAACTCTCTCTCCCTCTCTCTCCGCAACTCGCCTTCATTCTCGGAACCTTTAAACTACACTCAATATTTTCATCTTCCTCAACTCTAACACTGTTCTGCAATTTCACTCATCACCCTCACACTCACAAAGTTAAGCTCACCACAACGTAGCGAGCAACACAGAACATTCAGAAGCATACACATGAAAAGAAGAGAGAGGAAATAAGAAGATCGAAACAAGATTCAACATATCTGCAATCATCTTCTTTGCTTCAGCCAATTCATATCGAAGGTACGAGATTCCTTCATTCTTTCGCCTTGTTCTTGACACTGACGTGTAGAGAGGAGTAAGTGGATCCATAATCCTATGGAATCATCGCCTTACGCTTCATAGATTCCGCTTAATTCAACTGTCATCAACCTAGGGTTTCAGATCAGTTCTGCTAGATCTGAGTCGGTGTGAATAGAATTGAAAGAAAAGAGTGCCGGATTAGGATTCAGGGTTTGATTGCCATCGGTTTTTATGTTGTGAGTTACTCGGTTTAGGGAGATTCGGCTGTCGTTGATGGCGATGATACGGCAGCGAGTTTTCGCTGAATAAGAACGGACGAAATCTGAGGAAGAAGAGATAAGCTGGATGTAAAACCTAGCAGTGTATCCAAATGCATGCGTTTTACCTTTTTTTCATTATTCCCTTTTTTTAAAATTTAATTTTGTCATTTAATTGTAATAACAAATAACAAAAAAAAATCTGAATTGAATCATGCTGATGAATGGTCGGGCCGAATTTCAATTCCTGAGGCCCGTTAGTTTTTTAGAGGATAGTAGATGGCCTTGTAAAAAAAAATAATAACATAGCATTGGACTCTAACTGTATGGGCCTGCAGTGCCCTGGTTTCTACTACACCCCTGGACCTAGATTAGCACCCTCCTGAATTCATTAATTCTTTGTTAAGATTTAGTATTTTCATGTTAATTTTCGTCAATATAATACATGATAAAAGGGTAATAAAACCAAATAAAAATAGTAGAATACTATAATGGTCCTTTTAGGAATTAATTCTTTAAATTTTTTAGAATTCTCTCTACATAAAAAACTAAAAAAAAAATACATACATTTTCTCTTTTAGTTTTTATCCGCGTTTTCATGCCGTTTCACCATGTTATATTTTGACGCGTTTGTTCATTGTGCGAGGAATTCCTGATTATGCGCCGCATTGGCGACACACGTTTGCATTTATCTTAGTTGGATATTGCTTCTGACTCTGTTTGTTTCTTGGTGAAGCTTGCTCGACGCGTACTCCCTGCTTTTTCAGTACTTTCGTTTGCTCTTGACGACTTGCTCACTTTGGTAACCTCCGCTACTACTCTTGCACTTCTTTTCATTTTATTGCATCTCGTTATTGCTTTATAAAAATCATGAGAAACAGGGCTTTATCGCAAACCATATGCATGCTAACATTGGGTAGATGTTTCCATTTCATTCATCCTTGACTTAAGACTATTAATGGACAATAACATTAGGTTTAGAAATAGGCTAGTCCCCCTTTGACATTTTCTTTCTCCTTTTGCATATGCGTCTAAAAACAAAAACTTCTTTTTTTTTACAAACTTCAAAAATACTTAAAACTACTGATGAGAATCATGCCTTTGCTTAGTATGGGAAATGATAAGCGGGTCTCTTCTCGATCTTATTGTTCTTCATTTCAAGCCTAGGTGTGGTTCAATTCTCAAAGACCTCTTTCATAGCTAAGTAGAAAAGTGGATAATATCTCTCTCTTGAGGTCAACTAGTCATTATCTGCAACAAAAATACAAACAAATTCAAACCTTTTTGTGCGCCCAGGCACGTTTTCTCCAAACTTTTTCAAAAGAACATGTTAATTCACTTATGTGTTGACGCGTAAGTCTCCAAAGGTCGAGTTGCGGTAGAAGGCGAAATTAATACTATTCATTAATACAAACCAACAAAAACACATAAGCCGAACTACGACTGCTCTGATTCCTTAAAAAAGGATACGTAGGCATCGGGGTAGGGCCCGAACGAGCACAATTTTATTTTCTCTACATTATTTTCCCTTTTCTTTTGCATGCATTCTCTCTTCAGTAGTATAATAAACAGTAGGCATAGATTAAACACACTCATAAGATAGACAACAAGAGTGGATATCGTAGAGTACTACGGGCGTGTGGGGTGCTAATACCTTCCCCTCGCGTAAAAGACTCCCTTACCCTTATCTCTCGGTCGCAAGACTGTGACTTCTCCCTTCTCAGGTTTTCTCAATGTTTACCTTTCCCCACATGTGGGATAAAAGACGTTCGATGGCGACTTCATTGTTTGATGATTTTCAGCCGGTTGTTTCAGATCTTCCTGACATAAGATCTTAAATGCAGCTTGGGACAGGAAACACCGTCATACTTTGCAAATGCGGGAAATTTGAATTTCTGGGGGATAACCACCCTTGAGACCAGTCCTAACTCTTCAAAATCCAGACTAGGTACCCTCTGAATAACATTGAGACGATCCTCTAGTTGTTTATATTTGTCATCATCAGGAAGATATTATTTTTCAGTATAGTCTGCTTCCTCTTCATCAGTCCCTGGGCTGTTATCCTCTTCTTTTGTCTTCTTATTGTCCTCTTCCTGATTATCCCCCTCATTTGATGGAGTTGCAAATTCTAGAGCTCGCTTGGATGGTCCTCTAAATCTTATTCCCATATTCAAGATGCAATCCAGTTTTTTTGCCATCTTTATCTTCTCTTTGACAATGAGAGCTTTTAAATCTTCTTGTCCTTTAGCCAGAGCCAGGAACATCTGTTGGAATTAAGCGTTCTGTGCTTGAAAATCCTTAACTGTTTGTTCAAGAGCCATTTCTTTTTGCTGAAATAAACAGCAAAAAGATAAGAACCTGTCTTGAAATACCTGCTTATGTAATGATATGCATGACATGTTTATGCGATGTCTTCAAGGTGTTAGGGAAATTTAAATTTGAGAACAAAAATGAAACAATTATTTTATTAGTAGAATTCAAATTACAATCACCTTTTAGGCATACAATTGAAAATTCTTAAAATCTAGGAATCAAGTCTCCCATGGCTGCTGTAATTACCTCTAGCTTTGGATCTTCCTCAAAACCGGTGAAAGGCATCTGATCAAGAATAGGTACACCCAATAATTGAGAGAAATATTCCATTGTGGGTACCAACTGATAATCGAGAAATGTGAAGCAATGGTATTTAGGGTCAAAGAACTGAAAGAGTACACCCATCATCTTCTCATTAAAGCTTGAGGTAATTGGGTTGAGAAGTTGACCATATTTCTTCGTGAACGAGGAAGTCTCAGGAACCCTTGATATTATCTCTTTGAGTTGGAGAGGTATTCTCATAAAGCTGATTCAGACGGTATTTCTATGAACGAAAGTATTGATCTGCAAAACAGAACAAAGATAAAGTCCCTTGGTCCTTGAAATGGTTAGTGAAATGAAAATGGATGTTATGATGCATGATGTTATGTTTAAACAATTTAATCACACACAAGTAAAACACATAATGCCTTAGGTTTAGGATTGCACGGGGTTTATAGGTAAATACCCTCTTGAAGTTTAGTTAGTTCAACCTATCCTAGAAAAGTAACCGGGTTCTAAGTAGTCTCTATATCACTAATCTTTCTTTATCAGACATTGTTTCAGCTCAGGTGATCTTTTCTCGCAGCCAAAATCCCGAAAGTGAAATCTCAATGAGTGTAGTATCGAGTATCAACCAATTCTCAACTTTATACCGAGGCCGACTATCTCACTAATTTTCTAATGGCCAAGTTTGTTCAACTAAGGTTTTAAGGTCTGTTAGTGCTTTATGACACCACACAACAGCCCCGTATTCTACTCGATTTAACACAAGGTATACCAATACCAATAAATGTGCCACACTAACACAACCATCGCTTCAACCATATCGGTCTATGCCGTACAGTCCCCACGATCTATTGCTGCTTACCTAAAAGTTCCCCAGATGCGGGTATATGATCTTTAAAAGTAACCCCAACAAACCCTTTAAAATATAAGCATACAAAACACACAAGGAAATCAATTTTAAAATGATCTAAATCTAAGGTAACCCCACTTTTATAATTTCCCCAGCAGAGTCGCCAGTTCTGTAATACAGTGGTAGAACCGACTGTTATAATGGTTTTGCATTTATATTAAAGAATATTGCAGCAAGCAAGATTCGCCACCGACTTTTCTTTTATCCCACAAAGGAAAGGGTGAAAAGAATAGAAAAAGACCTTTCGAGATTATTTTTTAGTAAGGGGGGTATATTATGGAAAGGGAAGGTGTTAGCACCCTTTCCATCCGTAGTTATCTACGGGCTCTTAGATGCTATCTCATTTGAAAATACCTTGTGTTTATGTGTTTTAAAAAATTATTTTGAAAAGACTCCTTAATGTGGCGAACTTCGTAATTTTTATCGTATTGTTGAGAACGTATACAAAGTGTTTTGGAAATATTCTTGGAAAGAGTTTTGTGTATGTGAAAAATTGTTTTTGAGAAAGAATCTAAGAAATATCTACTTTACTCGAAAGGGTTTGTTCTTTTCCACTTTTCGCTATCCTACTATTAGTAAGTAGGTAGCCTTATCGTTGGATGTTTGAGGGACAATCGAAGGGACATCATTACAGTCACAAAGGAAACTGAGCAAGATACTTTAGTAACCACCCTAGGGTTTTAAGATCACACTGAGGCAACATCGAGAGGGTTATTTTTGTGATATTTAAATCGAAGGGTAGCAACTAAAATCTCTCACGTTTCGAGAGTTGTGACTGTTTTATTCCAAAGGTAACCGATGTGGGACTACCCTAGAGGTGCGCATGTGCAAGTGCATTGTGTTTCAGTTATATATCTTGGTGTTAGGTTTGCTATGTTTTGTTTTTTTTTTAATTTCTTGCCATACAATCCTATTACCATACATCTAAACAGTTTTAAATATGTACAAAAATTTAAAGTGCGGAATTTAAAACCTAACTATTACATGGCTTCGGGGAGGGGAAATTACAAGTCTAAAAATGGGGAAAAATAGCAGTAAATAAAGTCTTAATTTTAACTATTACAACACATAGTCAGATACAATAATATGAAAATGATAATGCGAAAATACTGAACGAGCGTGACTTAGAAAGGAAGTTAAAAACCCTAAAAGGTTCTAAGTAAAAGAAAAATTTTGTTGTTGTTTTGTTTATTTGGGAAAATATTAAATTAAATCCAATTAATTAAAAAATGAAAAGAAAATTATTAATTAAAATTAATTCTAAAGTGAATCTAATATTTTTGGCATTTTTGTGATTTGATTTTAATAATAAAACCTAAGTC